CCTTATTTTACGTGGCGAGACTCAGGCCATGAGGCCTGCTCTTCCGTCTGACCACGCAAATTTCGCTACGCTCCTTCACCAACTAGCAGAGAAAGGAGGTATTTCTTGGGCGAGAAACAGGCGATTTCAATTTAGCTCACAGGTGTCATTTAGGCTTAAGGATCTTTTACATGCAGGTAAATCTACTAACATGGGACAGCCGGCTTTACTTCCCCTCCGAATGAAGGCGTACCAAGAGTTTTTTCGCCCTGAAAAATCGACGGCTTCGATCGGGTTTGAAATCGCCAATTTGAGTATACCAGTCCTATAGGCTAACCGTCACACCATCGCCGCGCGCATTATTAGAGATTTCCCAACTTTGAACCCTCACTACTTATCATTACTTTAAATTATTTTCAGCCATCATTTATCTGAAGATTGATGCCAAATATCTGATAACATTTTGACGTGCACTTTTTTGAAATTTAGAAATTTCAATAGAGTGGTCACAGGAAATCGATAGCGAAAATATGATAGGCACTCAAAACATTGCCAATTAGTGTAAAACTGACGTTTTAAAATTTTCAGCGCGATCTGATTACGTTAAGACTCGCTTCATGGGCCATACAATGTTGCTACAACATCACACAATGTTGGACCACACTATGGTGCAACAACTTCACACTCTTTCTCGCATTATTTTTAACATTTGCAATATTTGAAAATTCACAGAGTTCAACAAAAAGGAGACGTGTGACACTTTAAGCATTCATTATTCTATCCGTAGAAAAAAATTAAAGAAAAAATTGAAAGGTGTTTTTGAAACAAGCTAGTTTTTAATACATTGCATTAACTTCAAGTGAAAATTACGGGCAATCCACACTTCTTCGAAAAATATATACAAGTGAATGATCTACTTTGAACAACTGATTCTTTATAACAGATCCCATTTAAAAGAAAAATCTCTATATTCAATATTGTACAGGGTCCGACAATAAAAGTTTTTCAGTCGGCAAAATTGCCGATATCGTTTGCACAATAAAAATACTTACACTTCTTACAATGCAAGGCGAGAAAGTAAAAATATATTTTTTTAAATCCAAAATTTCATGTTTTAGTTTAGAATGTGCTATCCTAAAAAGTGTTGTTTTTTGGTTTTGTAGAGAATTTTTGTAGCTTCAACTATTACCTTTATAACTTTTAATACTGGAGGAGCATAATCGTCTTCTTCCTCTCCCTCTTCCTCTTCTTCTAAAGGACTAAAGGACTCTGATTCCCTCCAATCCTCTGAGGTCCTCCGGTCCAAAAACTGGGCTTCACATATGAAAACGACTGCAGTGCAGAACATACTTGTTAGCGTTGTGCCTTCATAAGCGCACTAAACAACTTTCCCTGCATTGGCAGTAAAATAATTTGGGACGATTGTTTTTCAGTGGTGAATATGATTCACGGAATCACAATTGTGGATTGTCAAGCTGGGCAATAACTGGTCACGGAATGTTCCTTCTCCACCACCGGCTTGCTTGCTGAATTGATTCGTTGCTTACTTGCTTGCTGAATTGATTATTCCGTGTTTCCGGCAAAGTCTACTGCTATGGTCATCAGTCCTATTAGAGTAACGAGCGGTGATTTTTCCCGCTCGTTGGTGAGATCTGGTGCCGATCAACACGCCAGATAGCGAAGTTTTCCCCAACCAGGTATCTCTCATTAGTGAGGCACTGCCCCAGTCGGAACGAGCTAAGATCCCGACTGGTCTTCCGACATGTGTTGTAGTGTTGTACATGTAAGCGCAAGTGTGTGTAAGTAACGAATGAGGACAGACCAAGGAAGAGGAAGGAAATATTGTGTGAGGTCCGTGCCGGTACTATACGGACATTCGCCTATTAACGGAGAAACAATGGAAAACTGCCGATCAGAGCACACAGCCGCTAAAATTCTTGTCCATGCATCCCTCCATTCCGATTTCAACTTAAAACCAATGAAAGGGCAAATAAATCACCCATCCCACAATTCCTTCTTCCACCTACCTAATATAACCGGTCCATCCTTTTACAATCTCGGCATAAATAACCCTCCCTTCATGAGAATAAAAAATAGCCCCTGTTGTCTGCAATTGAAATCAATAAATTACGTAGCTGAAATGATGATGTTGCATAAAATATGTGAGCCATTAGCATAAGGTCTGGAGTAATGGTTATCCTCACGCCCACGTTGTGAGTGGGCAACAGAGACACTAATGTTTGCAACCGAATCCTTGTCAAAACGATATCTCTTCTTAGCTTCTTGTTGCCTATGCATTCCCAAAGAGGTTTCCTCCAATATCACTTTTGGTGTACAATATTCCATATTGATTTCAATAATTCCAAAAACTCATAAAAATATTTTATGTCATTCCACGTTGAAAAATAAGGGTCCACTTAAGGGTACTTATAAGCTCACTCATAAGAATAAGTGAATGCTTAAGCAAACACTGAAGTGATGATTATGAATTGAAAATGCAAATAAAAACTTAAAGGTTCCTCAAAAATAAGTGCCGATTGTGAATACGGCACTGAAACTGGTAAAACTTATACGTAACTCGAACGTGAATGAGCCCCTTACACATGCAAGCGGGGCTTGCGAACGTGGCCAGTTGGGGTTGTAAAACTGTTTTCTCCTCATTGTTCCCACAGTGGAATAACCTGTGAGAGCTATGCGGAGGGGACAGATTTACAACTGGCGCGAATTAAGTTTGAAAGTCCCGTCTGAAGATGTTTAGAGTCCTTAAAGCGTAAGGGTCCCTCTGCGCTGGCCCCGCCGCCGCCTGTGGCATTCCCGCGTTCTTCAGGAGCGGAGATAGACCCGCCCCGGGAAAAAGCCCCGCCTCTAGCTGCTTAAGCCGCAAGGCAGCAGCAAAATGTATAAACATTTAAAGATAATAAATTACCCTTCTTCACAGGGTTACTGTGGGGGGGGACAAAAGAAAAAAAAAACAGGAGCGGGGATAGGTGGGGAAGGAGGCCGGGGCGAAACGAGGTTGGGCGGGCCGGAAGGGAGGGAGGGAGAAACGTGACGATGTTCGACAGGGCGGGGAAGGAGTGGTCGGAAAGACTTCCGGGTGCGCCGGGGGAAGGCGGGGCAGGTAGAGCGAAACGTAGGGTCTTGCGAAGGGGTGAGTCGCGAGGGCCGACTGGCGCGGAAGTGGAAGGGGACGCGGACCGGAGAGGCTAGTGGGACGTTAGAACCGTGGAGAGGGACGAGGTTGGGCGGAGAGGGAGGGACGAAATAGGAGAGTCGGGGACAGCTTTGAGTGGAGTGGAGAAGTAAGGCGGGGCGAGGTTGCCGGATGGTGATGGGTTTAAAATGATGAGAGGGTTGAGGGGCGGGGCGAGACGAAGGGCGGAGGAGAGAGGACGTCGGTGGGATGAGGTTGGGCGGGTGGGTGTGGGGCGAAATAATGTGAGTTTGAGCGACGTGGGGAGGTAAGGTGGGACGTCGTTTGGGCGGGCAGGGCGGCGCAGGAAGCGATGTGGTTGAATTTGGAGAGAGGTCTTGGAAAGACGAGGTTGGGTTTGCTTAATCGATAATTCTGGCGAGCGTCAACAATCTAACGGCAACAGCCCGATGAAGTTGTACGTGCACATTTTTTTCTTCTGGAGTAACGGTTGACTCCCCGATGAGAGTCCGGTCAGTATCGTCTACTGGGTTTTCCCCAACCAGGAATCTCCCAAAGGATTGCTCCGCTCCCCGCCATTAAACAAGGCTCTAGGCTTCCACTGGTCTCCCGACATGCGTTTTAGTGTAGTGCATGTGGTGTAAAGTAAGAAAGAATAATTTCAAGGAATGGAAGGGAAAATCGCGGCGGTCCGTGCGCCCGGTTTTAATGTACTGCCCCCGGCATTCGCCCTGTATTGATCGGAGAAAACCAACGTAAAAACTACCGATCAGAGCAGTAGGCCTCCAATATTCTGCTTGAGGCAGCGACTGAACTTCGATCTAGCTAAGTATTCGAAAATGCTGTCACCGCCGGGCACGAACCTGGACCTCCCATCAGAGCACTGCAATGGACATCAGCTGATGCCCTGAGCCAGCTCCCCCGGTAGTTTGGCGCAGAGGGCGTGGCGCGGCGGGCCCTTGTCGGGCGCGGCGTGCGGGAGGCGCGCTCGGCCTGGCGCAGGCCGCTCCGCCGGGCGCCGCGGCGGCGCGTGCTCGCTTCCGGCCGCGCGCGCTGCGGCGAGGCGGTGGCCCCCGCTAACGCGGCGCGCGGAGGCAACGAAGGGGGCGGGGGGCTGCAGCTGCCGGGCGCCGCTGCCCTGCTAAGTGGTCGCGACCCCGGGCAGGCGGCCGGCCGCCGCTCCCGCCCGAAGGCGCATTAAGGACGGACTGCCGCGCAGAGGGACCGATCTTTGACAGCCGACCGGGAGAGAGGCCGGCTCAGGCATCAACTGCGATGTCACAGCAGTCCCTCTGACCGGCGGTCTCGTTTTCGATTCCCGACGGTGGCACGATTTTCGACGCTAGCTAGGTCGAATTCAGTCTCTGTCTGGAGGAGAATTCTAGCGGCCGGCTGCTCTGATAAATAGTTTTCTGTGGTTTCTCCGAACAACATCAGGCGAATGCCGGAGCAGTATCCTAACAAACGGGCCACGGACCGCGTGCGATCTCACCTTCCTCTTCCTTGTCCTATTCTCCCCCCTTACATACACACTTACACTAACACGCACTACACTACTACACATGCAGGGAGACTCGTCAGGGGCTAAGAGCGTGTCCCGGCTGGGGCGGTGCCACGCTGGTGTGAGATACCTCGTTGGGGTCAACCCCGCTATCCGACGGTAGGTCGGCGTCGGATCTTGCCATACAGCGGGGACAAGATCACCGTCACCTCCCGAGAAAAATACATGACCCTGGTAGTTCACGTGCCCGGAACCAGTAAACAATCAATCAATCAATCAATCCTTGGCAGTCGAAGTCTCTTCTGTGCACAAAACGCACTTCTGTTTGGGACCATGGCATTTGTAATGAGTTAAGGTACAAAAAAAATGGTGGTGAAAAATCAGACTACTGTACCGCTACTTATAAATTTACGATAACTGTTTTCTCGAGCTCTAATTTCTTTTTGAATTTTTTCCCAATCAGTCCCATTTTTAAGGGCGGAAAAATCCTTCGTACGCCTTCCTTCGAAGGGTTCCATGGTCCCATGTTAGTAGATTTATATGCATGTAACAGATTCTCAAGCCTAAATGTCGCCTCTGCGTAAAATTCAAATCGCCTGTTCGTCGCCCAAGAAAGACCTCCTTTCTCTGCTAGTTCTTGAAAGGAGCGTAGTGAAATTTGCGTGGTCAGACGAAAGAGCAGACCTCATGGCCTGAGTCTCTCACGTAAAATAAGGCATTAATTCAATTCAATTCAATCATCGGGCCCCTTGATTTGCGGCACCGCGAGCGAACGCCCATGCCTAGCGCCAGCACTGGAGTGTGGCCAGTGGCTGTGAAAGGGTGCCTTTTACCACTGTTGCCGGCGACCCACACTGTCAAAATAGAAGAAACGAACACCACGAGACTTCTCATAGCACTGCATTATCCAATCTGTGGCAATTCCTCCCCTTCCCGTTGATGGGATACGTCGTTTAGAGACGGACCTTTTGGTCTCTAATCCAAACCAGCTATTTCGCAACTACCTTTCTTAAAAGAGCGTTTGGTTTTGGAAATTAAAGTGATCCACAATAGTAACTACTGCCTCTTTCTTTTCCCTTCCACCGTGATCTTGATGAAGGCCATTCATGATCAGAATCTTAATACATACATCTTCATGCGTGATCAGAATCGATCTCAATGGAGTCTTGTTTATAAGCCGTGTTAACCGCGGCAAGTTGCGTGCAGCAGTATAAAATATTGGCAAACATTAGCGAAACCAAACTTTAACGAATGGTTTATGTAGCCTGGCCCTGTAGTATGGGAGTTAAGAAAATGGCTCCCTGAACTCAAGTTAGCAGGGTCAAACTCGACAGCGGGTGATGGACTTTAGAAAATCGGAAGATCTTTAGTGTGCCAAGTATCATTTGTGAAGTGAAAAAGCAGCATGTCTAAAAAAAATTAACCCTCCGACTATTCTACTTCAAATCAGATCCCCAAGATTAGCTCAAACTGAGAACAAGAATGAATATGTGTAAGCTGGCTAAGCGAATGCTAGATTCCGAATTTGGATACCTGGCGAATTACGGGGTTAATGTTCACCGTAGTCTAAAGCTGCAGCCTTACAGAAGAGGGAGGGAACTACATTTATGGAGACTTATTATTCAATACGTTTTTTAATGAGCGTATGGTATTTTAAATAAGAGTTTTATACAGACCGTCTGTATAAATTTAATGGGTTTTTATAGACAGTCTTCTTTTTCAATATAGGACGTACAATGTTTTATCTAATTTTGGCCTTTATTGTGATGTACAAAAAAGGCCATAATATTATATCTTATGTTGAAGAGGTTGCGTGTCCATAATTAAAAGACAAATTTTCATTAAAATACGATATTTTCCTTGAACAACTTCAACTCATTCTATTTTTTGAATTTGGCAATTTTTTAAAATTTCGGGATATATTTGGGTGGTTGTAGGAGGGATGGACTCCGATTTAGCATTTTTTTGGGGTGGGGGAGTCGTACATTTTTCGACATTTTAAGCTGTTTGAGACGATTTTGTAATTTTGTCGCATATGTAGGGGGCTCATTCGGAATGGGGAATCCAGTCAAAATTGGCCCCATTGACCCCAAAAAGAGCAAATCAACATTTAAATGGATACCCAGTACAAGTGTTGCGTTTTACAACTAAATAAAACAGCGTTATGTTTCAAATTTTATATTCCTAGGCAATGAGTCAATAACACATATACAGAAATGAAAAATAGATATGGTAACAATATTGTGTATGGACTGTGGAATTAGGTTTCTCATCACTGGAAATATTGAAATGTATATGTGCGATCTATACATAATTTTTATCAAGGATTAAATATATTTATTTAATTTAATGTTTTATTACTTAAGGCTAAGGGGTACCCTTGAAAATTTTCAGAGTCCATGGCCCTCTTGCCCCCCCCCCTTGTGCCCAGCCATTGATGTTCTCAATACCCAAAACGAATGAAGTTCGAATCAGAAACATCTTTGAAGCATATGTATGATACCCCACCCTTTCTGAGAATAAATAAACAGATATTCCCTTCATTCATTCTTAAACTGCTTTTCTACCTTTGAATAGAAATAAATAACTTTAGCATTTTGTATCATCTTCCAGTGATTTCTGGTGATGCTCAATGAGTTTCCCCACTCTTTAATTTTTAGACGTAGAATAAGTCACCAATCTTCTATAGAACCGAAAGGCATTTTATTTATTTATTTTCTTCCCGTTCGAATTGTTTCTTTCGGGGTTTTGACGGGTACAATGTTACATACAATGATTTTACTTGGTCATCCTCAGGTAAATTCGGGTCTCGAAACAACCCTTAACTACTTTTTAAATTTCGTATTTGGATATCTTCACTAATAGAAGTTTGCATTTGTGGTTTAGAGGAGGAGGGAGAGTGCTTGTGGGAAGAGGGGGCAAATAATTTTATGAATTAGAGTGGGCGAAAGAGATCTTTGGGGAATCAGGATCTAATTCGTGATGGATAATCTGCGTTTTGGCCGAGATTGAATATTGGAGTGGGGCATGCTGGGAGGAGCGAATAATATTTTTCAGAGGTTTGCGAGATGAATTCTGAGAGGAGGGGTATTTGAAGCTTTCGGTGGATTTGTGAATTTGAAATGAACCCAATATGTTGCGCCATATTGGACATGCGTATGTCATTGTGGGTCTTATTATCATTTTATAGATGAGTAGCCCAGTTTCTATACTGAAGGTGGAATTTATGTTGATAAACGAGTATAGCTTTAGAACTTTGGCACGTGTCTTATTAGCCGACAAAAATATTCGGACAAAAATAAATAAATTGATAAAAAAAACATATGTCGAACTTAAGACGGATGAAACCCTCAAAGTAGTTAATGAGCAGAGCCAAAGACAGGTGACGAACCTTTCGGCGACGAGAAATAGTAGGTATATATGATAAAGCGGAATCAGATTGTTGGTGATTCTAATGAAACTTATATATAAGACGTGTTCGAGTTAAGTTTCAGCAACTGGAACCAGTGCAACGCGAAACGTCCACGCATTTCTATTCCAAAGTAGTATCGCGAACACAAAAGTCGCTTCACACTCGGACCCGAGAGGTGGCTCAGGGCATCAACTGATTTCACTTCAATGCCTCTGACCGGGAGGTCCACTCAAATTCAACTGCTAAAGTAATTAGTCCCGTCAGTTTATTGCATATTTTTTTCGCGGTGGTGGTAATGATCTTCCCACTTTGGATGGGCGGTGGAGATGCGGTGCCGACCTACCGGCGGCTAAGGGAATGTCCACCAATCAGATATCCCTTCAGGGGGGGCAACCACCAAGCCGGGACCAATCTTTCTCCCGGTATGTGAGTTAATGTAGTTTGTGGCGTCGTTAACACGAGGGCCAGACCCGTTAGGTCGGTGAAAGTACGCTGCGGGGGAGGAAGGGGTTCAGACTGAACTTCCGGGAGTTTGCGCTCTGGCGGTTGACTCAGGTAGAGCCGCAGAGCCAAAAATACCGATGGCTGTAAACTCCGAGGATGCTAGCCAGCGAGCCTCGCTTACGGAAGCAGGCGGAGCCACACCTGAGAATCCTGTGTGTGGGCGTAAACCAAGTTCTGCTGGCCAGCGAGCCTATCTAATGGAACAGTGGTGGGGTCGGTGTCAGCCTCAACTATTCAACGCGCCGCCAATCTCCGCGGCCCGCGTTCTCATTCAGTTGCATTCAGGAAGCTTGTACGTGTGTGTAGCAAGGGTGTAGGAAGTGTGAGCGAGATGTCCGGAGAGTAAGCGGCCAGACGATCTTCGCGTGCTGTAGGCACACGATCGCCACGACCGGATTAAAATGTTTGGCGTCAGGCCATGTACGGGGTAATGTCACTGGGGACGGATGTCCGACAGCTCGCATTCACGCAGTTGGCTTTGTATTTTTCTGCGGTAAAGCAGCTGTACTGAAAGGAAGGTTGCCGGAGTGTTTTAAAATTTAGCAATTTATTGTAACTTGTACATAATCTTTCAATATATTATTTTTATTTTGTTATTGAAATTTATTTCTTATCTCACTACGTCACAAGTGCATGTGAGTGTAGGTGTGTGTAAGAAAGGGTGAGGATGGAATAAGGAAGAGGAGGGAAAGATCGCGCGCGGTTCATTTGTTAGGGTACATCTCTTCGGTATTCGCCTGGTATTACATGGAGGAACCACGGAAAACCACCGATCAGAGCAACCGGCCACTAAAATTTTCCTACAGAGAGTGTCTGAATTCGACCTTGCACTCTAGCTAGAGTCGAAAATCCTACCACCGTTGGGAATCGAATCTAGGACCTCTCGGTCAAAAGGACTGCAATGAGATCAGTTGATGATCCACCTCTCCCGGTTTTAAAGCAATTAATAAAAAAAGGATCTATTCCATCAAATTAGACGTGCATTCACAGAAAAGCATTTCATTAGTTGATTTTAAAACAGAAAATTTCAATGTTTTAACATTAACGTTTTATGTGAAAAGTAGTTACCTATGTTGAGAAATATGACGCTTCCGGAAAACGAATTTGATCCAATGAAGACTTACTCACGTCTCTCCCTCCACTTTTTATTTATATCAATTCATTTATTTTTGTCCGAATTTACCTCGTTCAGCCTTTCGGCTCTACAGAAGATTGGTGACTTATTCTACGGCTAAAAATTAAGAGTGGGGAAACTCGTCGAGCACCGCCAGATGTCACAGGGAGATGATATTAAATGCTGAAGATATTTATTTCTATACAAACGTAAGCAAGCAGTTTAAGAATAGTAACGTAAGAAAGAAACGTAAGAAAGCCGTTTAAGATATCAGTTTTTATTCTCAGGAAGGGAGGGTTATCTATGCCGAGGTTGTAAAAGGAAGGGTTATTTTAGGTAGGTGGAAAAAGAAATTGTGGGATGTGTGAATTATTTCCTTTTTTAATGGTTGCAAGTTGAAATCGGAGTGGAGGGTTGCGTTTCTGACAGACAATGAAGCTTTGGTTGCAAATGAGGAGGATTCTATTTTGGAAGACTTGGATATTGTTCTTGTGGGATGTTGCTGAATGACACCAGATCGGGCATGCGTAAAGGAGGAGTGGTCGGAGAATGGGTTTGTATAGAAGCGGTGTATTTTCGGGGCTGAGTCTACTTTTACGGTTTATACAAGTAATGGGACGAAGTTGATAAAGTTTCTGATGGGCTTGCTTCACTTTGGTTTCCATGAGATCTTTCCAGGTTAGTTTTGTGTCTATATAAAAGCCACTGGTGAATTGAATAGAACCAAGGAATGGGAGAGTTATTTAACAAGAGTGAATGAAGGTGGTAAGAGTGTCGGAGAGGGAAAATGTTTGCGATCGATTTTGACGATTTTGCGATCGATTTTGATCGACTCACTTCACTTCCAACCCCCTATATTGGCACATTTTGGTCTCAAGCTCATCTTGTTTCCATTGAGATTTCTTCATCTGCAACTGCAACTAGGATATATTTTCACAGCATTATCAGCAACAATTTTTGATGGTTATCGATTGGCCTTGAAATGTTCAACATGCAGAGGTCAGGAGAAAAGTTTGATATAACGCACCGTGATACGGTCTTTTAAGTGTTAAAGATAGGAAGACGGAATTTAGAGACCATGTTTCAAAATTTTTCCTATTTTTTGAACCCCCAAATGATTACTATTGATACATGAGTATATTGATAAATGATATTTAGCAACCAATTGGTTGAGGGATCTACAAAAAATTGTTGATGATTTTATGTCAAACCTCCTTCAAGGTATATCGATTCTGCCTTACGGAAGCGGTAAGAGAACACTTTACCGACTCCCTGCTGAAATAAGAGGATGAAAGGAAATACGCTCAAGATTCCAAACGAAGTTATTACTTAAAAAATAAAAGAATGTGTAATTTTTCCTTAGAAAGTGCCAATATTCCTTACACATCCTCGTAAAAAGATCACCACTCGTCGTTGGTTATGAAGGCTGACGTCTCTGTGATTATCCTCCATCAATTTTGTAAGACGAACACCTTGAAGTTGTCCAGAGCTGCGTGTATCATTATTCCGCGGTTATCGCGCAACTAGCGGTCATAGTACAAGTTCATTGTTATGACTAGGGAACGGAATTTATTGTAATTAAAAAAAAGCAAAACATTTACATATATATGTATTTATTTTTTCCAAAATATCTAAGAAAAATACAAAACATTGAAAATAAGAACTCATTATACTTTTTAAAATTACTCTATGAAGGCGTTTTCTGAGCACGGGCCGTCGTCGATCAGATCGTAACATAGATTCCGAGCGTCTGCAAGATAGTTTCACCTCTTCAGAAGTAATTTTGCACTAGTTTTCACCAGTCTTAAGCGTTGTGTTTGAAATATAAATTACGTTCGTTGTACTTACAATGGTATTTACGGGGTGCCGGTGCTCAAGTGAAGAGTAGAACGGTGTAGCCCAGGCATCTGAAGGTCGCGGGCATGGTAAAAAGCTTACCAGAGCACGCGGACACTTCAGTCCAGAGAAATTTGCGCGAGATTTAAATGTAAGGGTTGTACAAATTGCTACGGAGAGGCGGTACGTTACTGGATACCTGGCCCTTTTCGAGAAGTCAGTTGATAGATATTGTCCCAAATTTAGTTATATTAGTTCCCGTTCTATCTTTAAGGCAAAGAAATGATCCATTAAAATGAAATATTACATCAGTCAGATTAAAAATTTCAATTGAGAGTAAAATTAAAAAAAAAATGAATAAAAATATCTTGATTTTGTAATCCTGTTTACTTAAAAGCATGAATCTTAAGAGCATTACTTAAGAGCATAAAAGCACGAACTTTATTCCTTGAGGTTAGGTTTAACACGCAAATAATCTTGTCTGTTAAAAGCGCTGTCCGTAAGCGGGAATTGTTAACTTAAATAGAGACTTGTTAATTTATTTTACAATATTGCTCAATACTATAAGTAACTGAATGATTTAATAACACAACACAAAACGAAAAAAAGGGGAAAAATTGCCATTAAAACATATTATTGTCGCTTAGCAAAGATGTGTATATAAGGAAGAATTTAGTAAGAAAATAAAAACGAAATAGTAAAAAGTAACATAAACATAATACAATTGTATAATTGATATGTAATATTGTAATATTTGATATAAAAGATCTGGCAAATATATTTTCGTACGAACCCACTATTCCTCGCCGCATTACATCTCAACTTACGCGTGAACACCCCATTCTGGATTTTGAGGGGAAATGTGTGCGGAGTGAGGGGAAGTTGTCCGTGCCCGTAGGAGGCTCCCAGACGGGCAAGTAGCTCGTGCGGGCGTGGTTGGACGTGCCTAGTGTAGCCAGTGATCGACCCCGGACGGGGAGGGAGTTGAGGGGAACATACCCCCTCCCAAATCCAACGCAACATGTGTTAAGCCAATGATCTGTAAACAATATGTGTTAGTTTTCGATCGAGCTACGCATGGGATCCATGAAACATGAGCAAGCTCGTAGGTGGCTGGAATTAGAAACATTCCTTGTTTCATATCCTTGTTTCCGAGATCGCGGTTTCCAACAAGCTGGGGGAGGTAAGGGGGGGAAGACAATTCATGGCGAAATCCGCTAAAAGTGCGGTAGCATCACATTTCTGAGTAAGAAAGATGATTCTTCCGGTAATGTATCTTGCATCCGAAATGTTCCGTTTCGAAGTATAAATATATTGAAATATAACGAAATATGTAGTTTTAGGTAAAATATGTGTAATAAAGATAGTTCTTATGATTTCAGAATTGCTTGTAAACTGTAAAATATATTATTGAATGCAAGTATCTTGTTGCTGTGAAATATGTATGTACTACTTGAAAATCCGTTCCACGAGTTAATTGCAACTCGTGGGCATAATATATGAGTTAATTGCTATGTTAATAGTCCGAGGAAATTGACAAGCTCTTTATTCCATTTTTTGTGGAAATGAGATATGGTTTACAAATTTGTTTTCCCTTTTTACAAGCATTTTCAGACATAGGATCTCGTGACTGTTGTCTCCTTCGAGGTAAGAGCCGATGTGACAAAATCACCTCACTACTATCGAAGCTCTCGTTAGCGGTAAGGTCCTGTTTGGAGAAGGTCGAATGAGTCACGCCTCACATTCAAAGATTACGAGGCCTTTAAAAACGTCTGTGACGAAGAACACATTACAACAGACGTCACCTTTTACATTTCTTTCCTTTCCCCTCCTTTTTTCAAGTAGCATAAAGGAAAAGCATTAAATTCCATCCAAAACTCAGGGTCGAGGTTACGATTGTGATATCTAATTTGAGGGTCTCTGAAACGAAAAAGTATTGTTTTTTTACACGAGAGATGGTTGTGTCGATGAATGGATGTAGTACGTGTAGATGGATGGGTAGACGGACGGACGGGGTGCGGACGGAGGGACTGACGGACTGAAGGAGAGGCGGAGGAGCAGATGTAGTAAGGGACGGTTGGAGGGATAGACGGATAGAGGAAGGATCACACGGAAGGATGGGCGGGTGGAAAGGCGGACGGACGGGCGAAATGATGAACGGGCAGAAGGACGAAATAATGTACCACTTCGGAAGTCGGAAAGTTTGAAAGCGTTTTATATCTAACTTGTTACTCATTCAGAAGAAATCCATTCCAAAGATCTTTAAGATATTTAATCTTAGAGGGTACTTCATACGAAGCCCATAGAACATTTTCTCAAAAATTATACAAATGTTTTCTTTCAAAGTTTTGCTTGCATACAGATTGGTTGGGTATAAATTTGGTAAAACATTGATTTTTTATTATATCCTCCGATCTTTCGAAAATTGCTGAAGTTCAACTTTTCTATGAACTTGTCCTACGCCTTTATTATTGAAGCAAAACATTTTTTTATTAATACCTTTTCTCCAATATTATTGTAGCAATTTATATTTGCACAAAATTTATGAAAGCTTTAGTAGATTTTGCGAAATTTTGAGTCAAATCGCATCAATTTTCCGCAAACACGTAAGCCCTCCCCCCAATAATTCCAGTTCGTCTTTGGCTTTTTGAATAGATTGAGTACAGACCACTAAAGCGCAAGATACAAGTGTAATTTTGGTAAAAACATTTTAATGTTTCAAAATTTACAAGTAAATAGGCCTACTATTTTTGGAAATCTCGCACGTCGTTATATTTACGTTTCAAATGTAGGACACCTATTTTGTACTTACAGCAGTGTATACATAACGTTTAAATAATCTCTTGTGATATTTCTTGGAAAATGGCGCATTTTGAGGAATGCATAAACGATATTTTATCAAAAATACCACCCAATATTCCCCTGAAAAGAATTGAATTGCTGTTTTATGATATTCTGAAAGGATCCTTTCAATTAAAATATTAGAGGACCGAAAACTGATAAAATATGAAAAAATATACATGAATTTCAATATAACATAGTTTCCTTGATATAAATATTACATGGAAGAAAATTAAACAATTGTGTTAATTGCGTGTTCCGCTCTTTTGGAAAAATTTAACACCATTTTTTCAAAAACGGCTCCAATTTTTTCTTCTTCAAACTTCTGCGATAGTGCGGAGAGTGCGAATTGCACTGTATAAAATGACATAAAATTCATTTTGCTGTATACTTTTACATTATAGTAATTTTGTTAAATATACCTCACGCCTTTAATACGCACATTTCGTGCGATTTGTATACATTAGTGTAATTGTGAGTAAATGTACTTCAAATGACTTCCCGAAATTCTTAAATGTTTGAGGGTACTTGAAGCCTATGCGACATTTATGAAATTTTCTCACATTTTTTCATTACATTTTCTGCAATATACGGATAAAATACATGTATAATGCTGGCATATGTCCCTTTTTTAGTAACTCTGTTTTTTTTAAATTGCAAAATTTTCAAACTTTTTCGTCGTTTTCCTACAACTACAAAATTGAAGATAGAGATTTTATCCTTAAAATTAAATTGGTACTCCACCAATAGTTTTTTCGTTAAGGCTATGCACATGGTTTTGAAAATTTTAGTAGTTTGCGCGTAACATGGAGTGGATAATATGCACAATTAAAAATATGAAAAACAAGATTTTTCCAATACTGGTCCAAATTTGTGTCTTTAAACTTGGTGTAGAGAGAATACTCAACGTAGTGTAACAGATGACATAAACGCCATTATGCTCTATTATTTTGCTTTTTCACAATTTACACAAATGTTATTTTTTCATATCTCTCTCACATATATTTTCATTACCGGCAATTTGTATATATTATTGCATTTATGAATACATGTGTTTTAAATGATGTCAGAAAAAGTTTCTCAAAAACACAAATCTTTTCTTTGAAAATAAACTCGAAACTCGTTCATACAGGTATGACACATTTCACTTATCCTGGGCGCACATGTCCCAAGACTGAGGCATCAGGTTGGCTGGATTTCCAAACATTTGGAATTTTCAAAAATTCAGAGTTCACTGAGAAAATTGGATCTGTGCTACTTTTATAAATATATTTTACTATATTCTTTCAACAATAACACAAAAATTAAAGAAAAATGTTGGACCAATTTCGAAAAAATTTTGAAAATGTTCTAGGGGCTTCATTACATGAAGTATCCAGTATCCTCCAAAAAAATAAGAATGTTATTCTAAATCGAAGAGCTTTAAGTTGATCTCGATTGACCGGAGAATATCCATGTTGGAAAAAAACCAACGAATGGTTTTAGTTCTAGTGTTGTTCACAAGTCCCACGTTTTGAAGGAAATACTTTTTTGGTATATTACTCCGTATATACGTAAATATACGAGAAAGTAAAAATGACTTTTAGACGCCGATACGTAGCAGCTAGGGAGAGGGTGGGGACAAAATAGTAAAGCTAACTCATCAAAAGGTATTAGGAAACCAACTAATACGAGAAAGTCTGCCCCATTCTGAAGCACCACTAGTTAATTTCTCGCATACGTATGTACAATGGCTCTCAACATTGTCCATACACTATTTAAGAAAATACAAAATGGCGTAATAAAAATATTTATTACAGATTTGTGAGGTACAAAATAAAAATATGTTTTAATGGAAACCTTCTTACATTACAAAAGTATCTTGAAATAACTGAATTAATACAAATTAAAACTTCTCTTAATGCATAAGCAATTCACCGCAAAAATGAACGCACATTAGCGATTTGACTTCGAGAAAGATGAAAAATAATGTCAATATTTTGTGGAAAGACCTTTAGCACAAATAGCAACCTCCAGCCTTGCTGGCATTGATCTTACAAGCTTTCTTGTAAATTAAGGCGCGATTTTCTTCCATTCTTCAGAGAGAACCCTCTTGAGCTCTTGTTATTCGAAACTTTATGCTTCTTGATATGTTTTACCAATTCACACCAAAAGTTCTCAATAGGATTGAGATCGGGGGATTGTGTCAGCGTTTCAAGGCTCTTTGGTACAGTGTATAACAACCACAACTTCACAATTTGCGCTGTATAGATGAACGCGTTGTCCAGCTGAACGTAATATGGTCCCAGTGCAAGATTAGCTGCACTTATTTGACATAACTATCTAAAAATAATAAATATCCAAATTTGTCAACTGTAAAATCAATAAAATGGAGTTTCCCGAAACTTGACGCTGAAATACAGCCCCATATCATTACCAAGCTCCTGTCGTGTTTTACAGTTTCAGGCAAATTTTTATATTCTAATGCTGCGTTTACCTTCCTCCACACGTACTTTTGTCCATCTGATCCAAATATCTTGAATTTACTTTCATTGCTGAAAATCACTATTAGCCAGTACTTCGAAGGGTGGTTCTGTAATATTTCAAGAACTGCAGTGTACAATATATTAACCGCTAATACGACTCGTACTCGACTAATGCCGATTTGCCTTACTAATCCAAGGTTTCTTCGCTACTCTCCCGTTGTAACCTACGTCTCCTAGTGCCTTTCGGACAGTTTCTGATAATACAGTTCTCCCTGTTGTTGAAATTTCTTACGACAAAACGAGTTTGCATGCTTCAAAGGGGTTAGTCCAACACCTGTGAAGTGTCCTAAACCCTTCCTCTATCCTAATTCCTTCCCAATTCTGGCCGCTGGGTAGTGATGCAGGAGCGCGTAGTAGGAGGCACGTTCGCGGAGATGCTACCTGGCGGTCCTCTAGACAACTGACTGCGACGAGACGTGACACTAAATGACAGACATGCTAATGGAGGATTACTCCTAAAAACAGCGCGATTATCAATGCAGGATCGCTAATAATAATAATAATAATAATAATAATAATAATAATAATAATAATAATAACTCCCATTATATACACATATAAAAAAAATCAAAAGCTTTAATCAAAATTGCACTCATATCATGTGATTTAGTGTTCTATCAACAAAAAAGTTTGAATGAAAGTTTGGACTCAATTGGGGAAAATCTTATTTACATTTTTTGGTCTCTATTTCACTCCAAATTACATGAAAAGTACTCTTATTTTGAAAATCTTGTTCCTGACATTAATTGAAGATTAGTTTTGAATAATAGATTTAATTCAGTCAAAAATAGAGATTTTCAATGATGTATTTATGGGAGAGAGTTTTATTGTTTCATTTTCCAAAAAGTCAATGAAAACTAAACGTTTTAATAAATATACTTTGCTCTATTCAAACAAACAAAACAATTGAGAAAAAATTGAAGCTATTTTTGATAAAATTTTGAAAATATTGATGGGAGTTTGATGTAAAGTACCATAAAAAATTAAAATATCCTTTTAAAATTCACTGTGCTTTAGGTGTAGCTAGATCAGTCGGAGAAAATTTTGGAGAAAAATTTGGTGAACATTTCTTCAAATCAGTGCCAGTATTGTTCATGGATGGATGGGTAGTCAGATATGATTTGCCAAAAATCCCTTTTTTGGTATCAAGAACTCACAAAACATAAATGACTACAGTCAAGAAAATGATTTTCTACTTGTAGAAGCCAGAAAAATTAATATTTTTAGCATCAGAAACCAGCGAACTAGTTTTTCTATTGAGAAATTGACACTTTTTCCCAT